CGTTAGAGAACATGCCTCCGCCTTGTACAACAATTTCCTTTCACTATAACATTTAAAAAGTACTACTGTGTACTTGTACTTTAATGTACTTTCCCTAAGCTATGCGCACATAGTCCTTGTGTCATACCTAACATAACCACCAAGATTCATTCAAATCCATCCAAATCTTTTGAGTTATTATTCATATTCTCCATTTATTTAACATTGCGATTATTTTCAAAGTACATCTATGAACATGCACTTTAACATACACTCCTCCAAAAAAAAGAAAGAAAAAAAAGAAAGCAAAACAAAATTTGAGAAAATGAAAGCTGGTACGCAAATGTCAAATTGAGCATGTTTTGAGGGTTGACTATTTGTTGTTGGTATTGTTAGAAGAACATGCGTGAGCGAATGCAACCATAGATGATTTTGAATGGTTTTATCGATCATGATTGCCATGATGAGCTTGACTGGTATGGAACACAACTAATCAAAAGCTGCAATTATTGCTTTTCGCGTGCAACCTATGACCAGAAAAGACCCAAATGCATCTCGCAAATTCATCCAAGACCTTTGCAAATATTGGGTGAGAAAATGGGACGTCTCAACGGTGCCCACCGAAACAGTGTCATTGGACGATTACAAACTGGCGAATCCAAGAGTGTCGTGGCGAGGACCTTCAGTATTCATCCCAGCACAATAACTCGTTTGTGGGATCGTTTTGTGCATTCCATTTCGACAAATGACCATCCAAGACCAGGAAGACCGTGAGTCACCACACAGCCCAAGATCGCAAAATCCGGGTAACCCACCTACGTGACTGTCATCATTCCGCCCGGGACACAGCACAAGTAAGTATGCACAGTAAGTATGCGTGTCAGACGTCCACAAGTTGCCCTCTCTCTAACACGATTACATCAACGTCCTCGAGTCAGGCGGTGTAACGCGGTGCAGCCATGGAGCCTTGGAAACTAGATCACATATGGTTCAATGATGAATCGCGGTTCGTGACGGAAGACAACGTGTCTACAGACCACGCAATGAACGTTTTGCACCCAACTGCATCAGGCAAGTGGACATGGTGGAGGTAGTGTGATGATGTGGGGAACCATCTCATACACCTGCATATCGGAATTTGTGCTCGTCCAAGGCAATCTTACTGCTGCGAGATATATCGACCAGATTCTCTGTCCCCACGTGCATCGTCTTGTTGACCGCCAAAGGGAGCTGTACCTCACACAGCACAAGCTACAGTGGACTACCTGGAGAATAACAACATCAATGTCCTCCCCTGGCCCTCCAGATCCCCAGATCTGAAACAAATTGATTACATGTGGGATCAGATAGATAAATGTGTAACTCAACGTCGTAATCCGCCATTGAGGCTTTAACAGTAACTGTTGTTCAACATGCTGCAGCAGGAATGGGGGATTCCAAAATCGAAACATCCAACAACTGATTCAATCTGTGTCAAGAAGACGTCATGCAGTTCTAGCAGTAAGAGGTGGCCATACAAGGCAGTAACGTCAACGTCACCTCGTCGACAGCAGGAATGACTATGATGACTGTCATTCTTGTGAACTGTGCCTGAGATACTTATGTATGTATTGCTTTACATAATTTCAATGATGTGCCGTTTATTTTCATTGATATACAGAATTGAATAAGACCAAATTTATCAAAGATATTTTGCTTTTCCGTTTCTATTTTTGAAGAGTGTACTTTTTCAACATCTAACTGATTGGTCCTGGGGCCATGCCCAAGAGATCAAGAACGTTTCATTGAAATCCATCTAGTAGTATTTGAGTAAAGATGCAAACACATACACACGCACGCACGCACGCACGCACGCACGCACGCACACAGTTGCATGCATACCCTCTGCAACAAACCTGTTTTGCCAGAAGCACTTACGATCATAGTGATTATTATACATACTTATATTATTGAGATTCTTGATATATAATGGTACAAGATCTAGTTGTAAAACACCCATCACAAGGTACCTTTTGACATACTACATGCCTATGTTGTGATAGGTTTATAAAAATATGTTTTCGCACATTGGTGTTGCAGCTCGATTATGTGTACCGATGTTCAGTTACCCCAGAATGACAGTTATAATCATCAGAAAAAATGGAACCATGTTTTTATTTGTTTGTTTTTTTGTTGTATTTTTTCTAAATCCATATGCAATACTGATCACAATTATCAGTAGTTCCAAAAATTAAAATGCACTTCCCACGGGAAGCACTTTTGCTACATAAGCCCCTGCACTATACGTCATACATGTAGTCTGATGCCAGTCTGGTAAACCCTACCTGTATTCTTGCCAAGAGTCATCCGTGTAAAAATATTCCTACCGCCCCATATAAAGTAATGCATGTAACTTATATCCTGTACAGTATAGTACAAGGTTTAACCATTAGGCTACCCTACAGTGTAATGTAATACATGGTTTAACCATTAGGCTACCCTACAGCCCCTGTAATGTAATGCATGTAATGTATATCCTGTACAGTAGAGTAGAAGGTTTAACCATTAGGCTACCCTACAGCCTCCTGTAATGTAATACATATAATGTATAGAATGTACAGTAGAGTAGAAGGTTTAACCATTAGGCTACCCTACAGCCCCTGTAATGTAATGCATGTAATGTATATCCTGTACAGTAGAGTAGAAGGTTTAACCATTAGGCTACCTTACAGCCCCTGTAATGTAATGCATGTAATGTATATCCTGTACAGTAGAGAAGAAGATTTAACCATTAGGTTACCCTACAGCCCCTGTAATGTAATACATGTAATGTATATCGTGTACAGTAGAGAAGAAGGTTTAACCATTAGGCTACCCTACAGACCATTGTAATGTAATGCATGTAATGTATATCCTGTACAGTAGAGTAGAAGTTTTAACCATTAGGCTACCCTACAGCCCCTGTAATGTAATACATGTAATGTATATTCTGTACAGTAGAGTAGAAGGTTTAACCATTAGGCTACCATACAGCCCCCTGTAATGTAATACATGTAATGTATATCCTGTACAGTAAAGTAGAAGGTTTAACCATTAGGCTACCCTACAGCCCCTGTAATGTAAAACATGTAATGTATATCATGGACAGTAGAGTAGAAGGTTTAACCATTAGGCTACCATACAACCCCTGTAATGAAATACATGTAATGTATATCCTTTACAGTAGTACATAAAGGACACTTGTATGTATTATACAGTAAAAGTAAGAGATGTTTTATTTTGGGGTTCATCTACAGGAACATGCTCCAATATCTATTTTGTTGGATTGAGTGCCATCCGGAATTCGAACCCCATTCAGTCAGGCACCTAATCGCCAGTACACATAGTCAGGCACCTAATCGCCAGTACACATAGTCAGGCACCTAATCGCCAGTACACATAGTCAGGCACCTAATCGCCAGTACACAGGCACCTAGTCGCAAGTACACATAGTCAGACACCTAGTCGCCAGTACACATAGTCAGGCACCTAATCGCCAGTACACATAGTCAGGCACCTAATCGCCAGTACACATAGTCAGGCACCTAATCGCCAGTACACATAGTCAGGCACCTAATCGCCATTACACATAGTCAGGCACCTAATCGCCAGTACACATAGTCAGGCACCTAATCGCCAGTACACATAGACAGGCACCTAATCGCCAGTACACATAGTCAGGCACCTAATCGCCAGTACACATAGTCAGGCACCTAATCGCCAGTACACATAGCCAGGCACCTAATCGCCAGTACACATAGCCAGGCACCTAATCGCCAGTACACATAGTCAGGCACCTAATCGCCAGTACACATAGTCAGGCACCTAATCGCCAGTACACATAGTCAGGCACCTAATCGCCAGTACACATAGTCAGGCACCTAATCGCCAGTACACATAGTCAGGCACCTTAATCACCAGTACAGTACACATAGTCAGGCACCTAATCGCCAGTACACATAGTCAGGCACCTAATCGCCAGTACACATAGTCAGGCACCTAATCGCCAGTACACATAGTCAGGCACCTTATCGCCAGTACACATAGTCAGGCACCTAATCGCCAGTACACATAGTCAGGCCCCTAATCGCCAGTACACATAGTCAGGAACCTAATCGCCAGTACACATAGTCAGGCACCTAATCGCCAGTACACATAGTCAGGCACCTAATCGCCAATACACATAGTCAGGGACCTAATCACCAGTACACATGGTTAGGCATCTAATCGCCAGTACACATAGCCAGGCACCTAATCGCCAGTACACATAGTCAGGCACCTAATCGCCAGTACACATAGTCAGGCACCTAATCGCCAGTACACATAGTCAGGCACCTAATCGCCAGTACACATAGTCAGGCACCTAATCGCCAGTACACATAGTCAGGGCACCTAATCGCCAGTACACATAGTCAGGCACCTAATCGCCAGTACACATAGTCAGGCACCTAATCGCCAGTACACATAGTCAGGCACCTAATCGCCAGTACACATAGTCAGGCACCTAATCGCCAGTACACATAGTCAGGCACCTAATCGCCAGTACACATAGTCAGGGACCTAATCGCCAGTACACATAGTCAGCCCTCTAACCCACTCATCCATCGCGGCTTCCTCAAGATTGAAAGTCGCACAATTGGTACCCTAGGCCTTGGAACGTGTGCACCCCTCTGATAAGTGAAACTTATCACGACTCCCACGACCGAAAGCTATCAATACACTCTGTGTACCCTTCTGTCGACTCAACTCAACAAACGTACTAGAATCTGTCCTTCACTGGGACAGTGTAATACCAACTATAACAAGTGTTACAATATATTTGATGTTACTTTGAAGTGAAGTGAAGTGATCAGCGTTGTGCTTGCTAGGTACATGGCAGTGCATATCCATCTCATGTAGTTATCCGCCATGTCGGTTGCTATGACGCCACGTGTACGCACACTACTGGTGTAACGTGTGGTTCCGCGAGCTGGCATTGTACCAAACACTTGAGTCGGGCTATATTAAAGCCGTTTACCCGGTGGCGAGGTAGTCGTATTCCTAGCTGCGTGCTGCGAAGTTCACTAGAACAATGGAGATCTCAACACTTGTTTTCCTGATTTTTGTGGTGCTAGCTGTCAGCGACGTACAGGCTGCTCGCAGTGGTCCAACCTTGGCTGATCGAGTGGCAGTGATGGAGGAGGAGATTAAAACATGGAAAATTGTAACTGTTAAAGCTAAGACCAAGAGGAGTACCTTGGCTAGACGGATGAGACTGGTGTTAGCTGAAGTTGACAGCCTAAAATACAGTTTACAAAACACCAAGACGCAACTGAAAGTAATAACTCAAGAGCTGAGACATGTTCGACAGGAAAAAGACATGTACAGCGAGAGTGTTGGAAAACTACGCGACGAGATGAATAAGACGGCAGCTGATCTGCGTGATGCCAGGATGCTGATATCTGAACTGAATTCGACCAATCAAGATCTTTTTGCTACAAAACAACAGATCACAGGTCTTACCAGGGACTTGATGACACTGAATTTGAGTTGTTGTGTGGTGAGGGATGAGGCTAAAGAGACTGATAGTAATGAGAGTTCGATGTCAACATCGTCATTGTCGCAGGTGTTACTCACGACATCGACCACGACGTATCCTGGAACTACTGCAGGTGAGACTTTTTACAGAGATTATTCGCTTGGTTACAATTCTATCTTGATATTCCAACCCAAAGATATACGTTTAACGTTATCATTTCATTACAATTAAGCCAATTGTTTTACAGTCATCCTGCATACGTACTAAGTATGTGTCTTTTGCTTTTGAAACAATATGTTGGTGGTAAACTTTCTGTGTTTTTAGTGGAAACCTTTCATTTCCGAACTACCCATATTTCAAACGCTTATTGACCAATAAAATTTGTGATCACTAAGGCTATGTGATTACAGCACATACAAACATAGGGTTCACATGGCATGTCAGCATAGGGTTCACATGACATGTCAGCATAGGGTTCACATGACATGTCAGCATAGGGTTTATTGCGCATGTAAACATGATGATGATTGGACATTTATTTTATTGGATATGTGTTCATATAGGGCATTGTGTATGTAGATACGTACAACGTAGATTTTATTGTGCATTTGAACATAAGGTTAACAGGACATGCCAGTGGTGCATGTCGTGCACAGAGTTTATTTGACATGTCAAAATGCAGCCAATCAAGGACTTACAAGGCATGTAACCGTTGGGTTAACAGGTGATGCCAATGCAGGACTTATAATGTATATGGACATATGATTTGTAGGTTCCCATGTGTTTGTTGTACTCCTTGTCGCATGTCCCATTTACTTGATAGTGGCGACAGGAACTGCACCGAAACGTCGCATCTGTTGCACTACGTAATTATTTAGCCATGAACATGTGCTCCTCTTCATTTGTCACTTATTGTTCTCCTGGTCACCATGTGGGACATTTGTCACTTCTTCTGCCCTTGGTTCTCATCTGAGGCATTTGTCACTTACTGTTCTCCTGGTCACCATGTGGGACATTTGTCACTTATTCTGCCCTTGGTTCTTATCTGAGGCATTTGTCACTTATTGTTCTTCTGCACTGTGTTTCCAGTTACCATGCTCCCACTGTTGGGCGTGTCAACTTGGGTCCTGTAGACAAGTAGGAACAAGGCAAGGTTACCTAGTTAGCCCATGTATATTGTTTTATCTGTGCTGAAGTAATAAATAGTAAATTTAGAAACAACCTGAATATATATGGCTTACAGTTTACTGGAAAAGAATGAGAAGGGGTTTAGTTTGCTGATGACTCTACACCTATGTTAAAAAACGAATAAATCAGTCAGAAAACCCTTGTATTCTATGTTCACCAAACTAAATTTACTGGCTAAACACTGAATTTAGAAAATCAGTCTCTAAAACAGGATGATTTTTTTCCCACCCTTTGGTACAATGTCGAGGTACAAATATCTTGGCATAATGTTAGACCTTAATGATCCAGTATGTTTTCATTACGATATTGAAATATCAGTAGAAAAATTCAAGCGACGCTTTGATGTATGAAAAGCAAGAAATTAAATAATTTATGGAAGAATGTTAATCAGTATATCAGAAGGTTTATCTAGACTCATTCACTAAGCAAGCTGAATCTCTGCTACTAATTCCAATATTTTACGCTGATGTTGTAAGTGTACTGGCTTTGAATTTTGATTTTCAACTATGCTGCGTTCACACTGAATTTATTCCCGTACCTCTAGATTTCTGGGTGAACTTACTGATTCAATTAGGAAGTGGACATCAGATTAGACTCGAACTGGTTTCGTTAGGCCCCAGCACCACTTCCACGGCGAAAATATTACTCCTATTCCAAGTATGTTAACTTGCTTTGAATGAAATCGCTCAATCCCCATTTGTCATGAAGACTCGACCCGGTGTTGTCAGGCCAGAGACTTCATCCTAGATCTGTCCAGCACAGCCCCAGTCAACTGAGCACAGCACGGTTTATGTTTGTGTCATTATGACCTGATAAAGGAAATCAGTCTCAGTGTTGCAGAAACTTCGGATGAGTGAAACCCTGCACCAGATTATTTCTTTGCTTTGTCTATAAATGCCAATATTTGTGGAATGCCCTGATAGAGCCTCGTTTTGGATTGCCCTTCCATGATTGACACCACACCATGTAGTTTTCCAAGACTGGAAGGAGGTTGCCCCGGGAATTCAGGCAGAGCAAGACTGCAAATTGGGTATTTCGTATATAAATGACTTCACTAGTCATATTTTATACACATTACAGACTGCCTGATTACAGAGTGTCACATACTAGAGTAAATACAACCCCGAAAATTAAAGTTAATATAATCTATTAACTAAATATGCCCTGATCACAATGATTCATATATGCTGTCACTCCTAACTTCATTCTCACAATCATCAAACACACTCACTCTCTTTCCCCTACTTAGCCAAGTACGTACCTCATACCTCACCATTCACATACACTCACATCAACGCTCCAAATGTAACACCATTACAAAGGTCTTTCTAATGAAACACACAACAGTTCATATGATATAATATATACATTAAATGGAATATACAGACCAACTACATCCAACGCATACTTTACTTTATCCTGTGCAGTTTACACAGTAGGCGGCCTGCCGGTATGGTCTATGTTGATCTGTTGGGACAGCCTTAATGGATGGGGCATGTCACTCTCCCTAAACACTCAGATGTCAAATGTCCAGATTCACTGGCGGCATGTCACTCTCCCCGAATACTCGGATGTCAAAAGTCCAGATTCACGGGCGGCATGTCACTCTCCCCAAACACTCAGATGTCAAAAGTCCAGATTCACGGGCGGCATGTCACTCTCCCCAAACACTCAGATGTCAAAAGTCCAGATTCACGGGCGGCATGTCACTCTCCCAAACACTCAGATGTCAACAGTCCAGATTCACGGGCGGCATGTCACTCTCCCAAACACTCAGATGTCAAAGTCCAGATTCACGGGCGGCATGTCACTCTCCCCAAACACTCAGATGTCAAAGTCCAGTTGACCATGATTCAAAAGTCGATTGACGGGCGGCATGTCACTCTCCCCAAACACTCAGATGTCAAAGTCCAGATTCACGGGCGGCATGTCACTCTCCCCCCAAACACTCAGATGTCAAAAGTCCAGATTCACGGGTGGCGTGTCACTCTCCCTCAAACACTCAGATGTCAAAGTCCAGATTCACGGGCGGCATGTCACTCTCCCCAAACACTCCAGATTCAGATGTCAAAAGTCCAGATTCACGGGCGGCATGTCACTCTCCCCAAACACTCAGATGACAAAAGTCCATATTCACGGGTGGCGTGTCACTCTCCTCAAGCACTCAGATGTCAAGAATCCAGATTCACGGACGCCATGTCAGGGTCGATCCCTCTCGATCGGCGGAAAACCTTACGGAGTATATCTATCCCGGACACTGGATATACAAAGCACACCATGTACTTGGAGACTTTACACATACACTATATGGACACATATATTTAACACACACAGGATCTGACTACAGGGCTGTTTTACCGACGCTTAAAGCACAACACTATCACATTACACGTGATCTGCTGACTGATTATTATATTACGTTTATATTACGTCAGTTTACCATCTTAGTTACATTATAAAAAAAAGATTTCATATACATTGCAATTCCATCATATTATCAACATCACTTATTATAAGAAATATATTGAATCAGAGATACGGTGATATTATAAGGTGAAATGTCATTAAATCTCAATGTATTTGGTGGTTGCATGAAAGTGATAGTAGATAATCACTCGCGATACATGACAAGTGCTTGTAACAGCCGCCCTCCATCTCTCGAATCCACAAATCTTGTGAGCGCACCCAGGGTCTCGGTGGCTTGGAGAAGGGTTGGCAAGGGTGGGGCTGGTTCGTCACTATCAATGTCACTGTCATTGTCATTGACTCCTAATCCGTATTTCTCAGTCCGCAATTTAGAAACAACTCAACAATCACATGCTAGTCACGTGATTGCACAATCCCCTCATTGCTTCTCAGTATGTTTTGATTGGAAACTACAATCCGTTATCAGTAGTGTTTAGTCGTAACAGTGAGTACTTCCTAATTAATTCCTTCTTAATTAAACCTACTTAATCAATGACCTTCAACTCAATTAGCCCTAATTAGTTTACACTACCGCATCTCTTTGATTCATGCCGCACCGTGTGTAAACATGTAGAAACATCTTCAGTTCAGAGGGATACTTGTCCATGAAAGGTAGGTGAATACCGAGTTTCTTATTAATATCGAGTTAAAAGGGTAATTTTGCTTTTCGGGACCATGAAATTATATCTAGATATCTGAAATATCGAGACATCCGTATCAAGTTCAAAGAGCTTGAATAATGATAAAATATGAAGGATTTTGCCGGGACCGAGATAATCTATCCACACATCCGAGGTATCGGGTTATCAGTGTTCGACACAAAGGTGCTCGACTGTATAAACAATTCATTCACATATTCTAACTACAACATAACATAATATTATAATGCTCACACCAGTTGAATATCCAGGAAAACCAGCCAACCTGACACACACACGCAATTGGTTGCAATCTCCCAACTTTCAAATCAGTCCTTATATAGCCCCAAACTATAATACCCGACTTGATTGACCCCCAACTTTCCAGATACATACAATGGTCTCCCATACTTCCATATGGTATTCTGAATAGGCTTACGACTTATGGACACTGTGTCTGAACATAAATATATCCGTATCTATTTCACACTTAGACTGAATTGGGGAATACCTGTCTACACTTAGCACAACAGACTCAGAAAAACACAGTTTGTCTCTCATTATAAGCTCAATGTAAGTACGTTCACAGAATGATCGCAGCTATATACATCTAAGCATCTGACGTCGAATGATATCCACATATGACGTGTTTTCAAAGGGGGCATATATATTTTTGTAAAGAAATATTGGGAGTTTTGTGATACAAACAATCGGTGAATTACTACAATTTAAGGAGGCGGTAACAGTTCCTCCCTTTCCCCCATCCCGAATAATATTTATTTAATATATACTAAAATTATTAACAAAACCTAACACAACAATTACTATAGAAATCACAAAAACGACTAACAGTCCATAACTTAGGTTAGGTTTAGGGTTTGGAACGGAAGGACATCTTTCCAGGGAAGCATCCGATATGCTTATAATACAATTGTCGTCCATGTCATGTCACAGGTAACACGAAATGTGTTGTAATATGCTGCTTTCATCTGATAAAACTGGAGGGCAAACATGGGACGATTAGAAATATTTCCATATAGAGTTGTTGATAAGTACAAGCAGTCGAGCGCCAAACGTTGCCATGCTCCTAACCTGACACGTCACAATGACGTCATAGCTGGCAGCTTTGCGGTCGTGGTGTCGCCAGTCAAGGCATTTCATAGCTAGCAGTGAGGCGAGTCGCTCGTGTTAGGACATTATTGGTGGGTAAGTTTCTCAGTTTCTACTTTTTAACTGATTTAGGAAATTTGATGAAATAGTGAAAATGTACATTGTACGTCTGCTGTAAAGCTGTATGAATGTTGTTGGAACCAAGTGCTTGCTTCACACAATGTTCAGACCTGTGTTTAGCTTGTCACCTGCGGGGGACGATGGAAGGTCTGGGTAAACATAACAACGCAGCGTTTCACCTGATAGACTTGTTATATTTGATCAAATAATGTGCTCTTTCTTAGCGTTATGCTTTGACCTGATTGCATTTACCTCTGTCACGGAAGACTTTATGAGAATGTTTTAAATATTTCCAGTCAAATATTTAATATACACTGTATTTCATTTTGTTTTTATTCTGCGTCAATGAATAGTTGCATTGCATTGAAATACACCCCGCTATATAGCACACGGTGAAACGTATCAGTTAAAATCGGTTTACAATGAAGACCTGTAGAGTTGCTTTTTCAACAATGAAACCTTAAATGTGGAACACATGCATTTCTGCAACATTTTGAAAAAAAAGGAATAAATTATGGAAGGGCAAGTACGCTTTATTCTCGTTATTTCTAATATTGAAACAGACGGAGAATGTTAATCACTCGGACAGCGACATGTCTATCTTGACCACCACACACTTTCACATGTTTGTACCCTTGTTGTTTATCAAAGCACATTGCTTCCATCGACAAGTACGACTGTGTCAGCTGCAGTTTCCGCCTCAGATAGTAGTTGTGTGAGAATTGCACTGCCGCCATCGTTCGGTATGCTGACTTTTTCTGCGCGCTGGGCAAAGTTTGCCTGACACTTTGTGACTAAATTTAAACTGTGTTGCACAAACAGGAAGTCAAAAGGCGAAACCGCATCATCAGTGGTTCGCGTCGTTTGCTGTTGTTTCACTATGTAGTAACTATTTCATGTATTTTGTATCAATATGTGATGCTTAAATTGTATTTATGAATATTTCTTTCGTCAGATATCTGGGATTATTTTTGTCGAAAACATTTCAAATTTTGTTTAGTTTCAAATTTGTGTCAAATGTGATGAGAGAGTGTACCCTCCATTGAACACTAAACTTTAAATCTGCTTCACATTAGAATTTATGGAATTGCCTAAAATACCATGTACAAAAATATGCAGCTAGGGTGGGGACATCAAGGAATGGCATTTTTCAAGTTCCAGTTACGGTTAACGAATTCAAACTTAAAAAAGGTGGTCATTCCAGAAAGAAGAATTATAATTAGGTATAAGTGCAGATGTTTTTGTTTGTTTATTTGTTGTTTTCTTTCAGTGTAATAATGTAAATATGTTTATACTTAAAGTACCCGTAGAACTTGCTTGACACTAGCCTGACCCTAACTTAACCCTGAGGGCAAACAGATCCTTTAGTTACACTGTTCATGTTTATGTTTCAAAACAGCATAACAATCTATTCAGCTACTACATTTCAACAAAGAGGAGCATCTCAGCTGCTGGGACACAGTCAGTGCAAAGCTTATTACACTTACTGAATCAAACTGTAAAAATATATGTAGGAAATGTTCTTTTTTTCTCCTGCAGAGACACGGGGTCTTGATGAACAGGTATCTCAATCAAAGAAAACCATATATATTTAATACTTCTGCTATAATAGATGTATTTGGAATTTATCCACACATAATATTGAAAGGCAAAACATTGTGGAAAGCGAAAATTGAGGCCAGTAGTAATAATAATGCTTATGTGCTATGTATAGTTTTCTGAATATAATATTCCCTGTTTCAGCCTCGACTGGCCCGACCCAGAACAACACCGTTCCACCATCGCCGGTGACGACACAAGACTCTGATCTACAGGGTAGGTGGGAAAACCCAGCAGACAGGGACGTCAGTCCTTAATTCTCCGTCCATTTAACAGAGTGGAGTATATATACCCGTGGAGATTCTGACTTGAGGTCACAGGATTTCAAACTGCCACATAAGGAAGGATTTCAAACTGTAAAAAATAATTTAGGGAGTGTTACTCTTTTCCTGCATAGACATGCGGTCTCGATGGAGAATTATCCCAGTCAAATTGAACGATATATATTTAATACTTCTTTCATAAGATATGTATTTAGAATTTAATCATACATAATACTGAAAGGCGACACATTATGTTGAAAGGCAAAAACTGAGCCAGCAGTAGAAATGCCTATGTGCTATGTATAGTTTTCTGAACAACATATTCCCTGTTTCAGCCTCGACAACCGACGTGAGTGATGATCTGACACCGAGCAAGATGGTTCCACCAGCGCCAGTGACGACACAAGACTCCCACGGTAGGTGGAAAACCGAGCAGACAGGAAGCTCAGTGGTGTCGATCGACGTTCATGTTGTCGGTCACAGGATTCCTTGAATCAGATAATTATGCTTAGGTCGCCACCAGACAGCTGAAATACTGCTGAGTGTGGCGTCAAACACCAACCAAAACACTGTGACATAAACCAACGTTATATCTTATAACCCTAAAACCAAACAACAGTTGTACTGACATTATCAACTTGTAAAGTTCAACAAACATCAACACTCTCCAGCCGTGCACAAGATATTGCTACAACTTCTGGCTCTATCAGAAAGTTCTGTGTTAAACACACCATCGTTTACCCCGGAAACCACATGTTGACATTCCCGCCATGTTGTATTGTTGTCAGCCATGATGGAATAGTTGAAACGATGTAGCAATGCCCGAGTGACGTATCAACATGATGAAGACATTGTAGATGTGTGACACAGATGTCTGATGTTTACTTTGTGTTGCAGCGACTCCATCACCAGCAGCACGCCGCGACCTCTACTCCGCCTGCGGGGCCGGTGACCTGGAGACAGTGAAGCTGATCCTGGCAGCGGGTCACGTGGACATCAACACGAGAGGAGGATACTGGGGCTGGACACCGGTGATGGCGGCAGCAGTGGGAGGACACAGCGATGTGGTGGAGTTCCTGGTGGGTAGAGGGGCTGATGTGTCACTGGTCAGCAGTAACCGTAACAACGTCCTTCACTGGGCCTGTTATGGTGGACACCTGGAGACCGTGAAGCTGATCGTGTCCAGGAACCTGGTGGACATCAACAGTAGAGGAAAGTACAGCAGGACACCGGTGATGGAGGCAGCACTGAGAGGACACAGCGATGTGGTGGAGTTCCTGGTGGGTAGAGGGGCTGATGTGTCGCTGGTCAGCAGTAGCGGTGACAACGTCCTTCACTGGGCCTGTTATGGTGGACACCTGGAGACCGTGAAGCTGATCGTGTCCAGGAACCTGGTTGACATCAACGCCAGGGGCAAGTACGGGACAGCGGCCGACGTGGCGAGACTTTGGAGACATCAGCGAGTGGCGGAGTTCCTGGTGTCACGTGGTGGACACTGAAGTCGGTGTTGGTGTGGACAGCGACGGTGCACATGTCGTTACTGACACTGACGCAGAGTGTGCCGTCCACGTTGTCGTGTGTTACGATTCACGTGATTTCCTTTTTTCTTCTGAATATAGATAAAATCTGTTGAATGTATTTTCAGACATTTTGTCATTTGTTGTGTTTGTAGCCTCGCAGGATCAGGTAAGAAAATTGTGAAGTGAGTGTAAATATAAACGGTGAGTGATTGTACGTAAACGTCGCCCGTCTTAACATAATTCTGTGTTAATTTTGTTCTGAGAATATCGCGAAACCGACAACAACAAACTGTTTGTTTACATGTCGCTGCACTCTGTGACCTCAGACTGGGTGCACCCAGATGACATGGCGCCATTTGTACAGTGACAGTGACGTCACACTGCTGGTGACGTCACAGATATACACTGAGGTGCTCGGCCGTCTTCTCACCCAGATAGGACAGAGAGCGGCGCAATGCTGGCTTCATGCCAGACAACACAAACAGTGTTAGTCAAATACCATGTGGTCGGTATCGTTTAACAAAGGAAGAATGAACATGTGTAGCTGATTACTGCTGAGATTTAACCCTTTTGGTGCCACAGGGACATGCACCCCTTCTACAGTGACTAAACACACAGTATACAAAATTAAACTGAAAACAATCATCACCCAAATCATCTCAGCTTTATTAATCCCTGGATGCCAGAATAACAAATATCTCCCTCAGTGTTCTAGCTGTTTCTTGATCTAACATACTGCTATTTAGGTAAAACACAATTGCTGAAATGACCGGTAAGAATTATGTATATCGTAAATCTCGCCATTTTTGACACATGAAGAATTCGCCATTTGCGGCATCGTGTACTGTATGTTGTAAATGTAAATATCAGATATTTACCCGTTGAACTGAATTTGAAAAATAGCCAATTAGTGATCATTGGCATGTGTTTGTCAAGTCGCCAATGATTATGCTGGAACCTAGCCTATAACCTTGGGGTAACCTTTAAATCGTCTTGGGGGCAGGCAAACACAAACGCCGAAGTGAGCCTTCCTTTATATTTAATAGTGAGTGAGTTAGCTTAGTTTTACGCCGCTTTTAGCAATATTTCCGCAATATCACGACCGGGGACACCAGAAATGGGCTTCACACATTGTACTCATGTGGGGAATTGAACCCGGGTTTTCGGCGTCACGAGCGAGCGCTTCAACACACAAAGCTACCCATTCGGCCCTATTTGACAGTGTTTAGAAAATCCTGTTTCACGTGAGGTCTTCATGAAACGCCCATTACATCGCACATGTTTAACACTCAGTTGCAACACACACATCCCTGAATTCTTCACATATTTAAAAATCAAAGGACTGATGGTCTTTGTTACCCGTTCAAACAGTGTTGATGATATTAACCCCCTGGATGTCGTTCAAATAGTGTTGATGATATTAACCCCCTGGATGCTGTTCAAATAGTGTTGATGATATTAACCCCCTGGATGCCGTTCAAATAGTGTTGATGCTATTAACCCCATGGATGCCGTTCAAATAGTGTTAATGACATTAACCCCCTGGATGCCGTTCAAATAGTGTTGATGCTATTAACCCCTGAATGTCGTTCAAATAGTGTTGTCAACATGTCAGCTCGCTATCGTTAAAGCAAGACCTCAACGGGTTTCAGGCCCATTAATAGCTAAATATATGATCACAAAAATATGACAGTTACATGTAAGTATAGGGAAATTATCTGGGAGTACATCGATATCGACATTTCAGTCAAAAACCCACAGGAAATATATCTAAAAAATCTCAAGAAAATACGAGAGGTAATCGGCCACTAGAATCTGAATAGGATTAATGAAGGTGGTGTCCTCGGCCGCGATGCAGGGTCATGTCTTGACTGTATAGGACCGCATCGCCAGTAGACTTTAGGGCAACACATCTTATATATCACCAGTAGACCCTAGGGCAACACATCATAGATATATATCACCAGTAGACCTTGTGGACCACATCATATGTATCACCAGTAGACCTGTGTGCAACACATCTTATATATCACCAGTAGACCTTAGGACAACATATCAACACCACATCATATATATCACCAGTAGACCTGTGTGCAACACATCTTATATATAACCAGTAGACCTTAGGACAACACATCATACAATCAGTAGACCTGTGGTCAACACATCTTATATATTATCAGTAGACCTTAGGGCAACGCATATTATATATCACCAGTAGACCTTAGGACAATTCATCTTATATATCACCTGTAGACCTTAGGGCAAAACATCTTATATATTATCAGTAGACCTTAGGGCAACGCATCATATATATCATCAGTAGACCTGTAGGACAACACATCTTATATATCACCTGTAGACCTTAGGGCAAAACATCTTATATATTATCAGTAGACCTTAGGGCAACGCATCTTATATATCACCAGTAGACCTTAGGGCAACGCATCTTATATATCACCAGTAGACCTTAGGGCAACGCATCTTATATATCACCAGTAGACCTTATATCAACACATCTTATACATCACCGGTAGACCTGGGGTCAACACATCTTATATATCACCAGTAGACCTTAGGGCAAGACATCTTATATATCACCAGTAGGCCTGTTGACATCATATATATTACCAGTAGACCTTGGGGCAACACATCATATATATCACCAGTAGACCTGGGGTCAACACATCTTATATATCACCAGCAGACCTTAGGGCAACACATCATATATATCACCAGTAGACCTGTGGTCAACACAACGTATATATCACCAGCAGACCTTGGGGCAACACATCTTGTATATTACAAGTAGACCTTAGGGCAACGAACACATCATATATATCACCAGTAGACCTGTGTGCAACACATCTTATATATAACCAATAGACCTTAGGACAACACATCATACAATCAGTAGACCTGTGGTCAACACATCTTATATGTCACCAGTAGACCTTAGGGCAACACATCTTATATATCACCAGTAGACCTCAGGGCAATACAGCATATATATCACCAGTAGACCTAAGGGCAACACATCATATATATCACCAGTAGACCTTAGGGCAACACATTATATATATTACCAGTAGACCTTAGGGCAACACATCTTATACATCACCAGTAGACCTTAGGGCAACACATCATATATATTAACTGTAGACCTTAGGGCAACACACCTTATATATCACCAGGAGACCTTTGGACAACACATCTTATATATTACCAGTAGACCTTAGGGCAACGCATCATATATATTACCAGTAGACCTTAGGGCAACACATCATACAATCAGTAGACCTGTGGTCAACACATCTTATATATAACCAGTAGACCATAGGGCAACACATCATATATATCACCATTAGACGTTAGGGCAACACAGCATATATATCACCAGTAGACCTTAGGGCAACACATCATATATATCACC